TAACTAACTAACTAACTAACTAAGAGTTGCTCTCATGATATTTCCTGTTTGGAGTTCCCACCTTGCAGTTATCTCAAGGGTCAGGCGAAGGGGCCGAGAGAATAGGGAGATTTGGGCTTGCCTCTGGATTTATGTTTGAAGTTACGGCTTTGGTACTATAGAAGCTGCTTTAGGGTGTCAGAACTTGAGTTAGGTTCTTTGTTGGGGACGGGTTTTGAATTCGGGTCTGGAAGTTTTGAGCTTGCAAGGGCTTTCTTTAGGGTTTAGGATTCACGCTTTTAGAGTTTACAGTTGAGGTACCAAAGTCAGGAAGCAGTAGAATGATCGTTATCATCCACCCCCCCCTCCCCCCTCCCCCCACCCCCCTTTTGAAACCTGTCGAAGCCTGAGAAGTCTGAAGAAAGTCCCCTGCCCACCGCCAAAGCCTGAAGAGTCCGACCGTCAAAAACTGAAGACTCCGAAGCAACATAATTTCCGAAAGGCCCAGATGATCCCAGAAAATTCGAGGACGTCGAAACCGCGAAACCCTCGCACATACCGAGTCGAAAAGCCCTGAAGTGAAGGAAAGCACAGGATCAAATACGCTCCTGGCTCCAACTACTTACTACCGTTAACTACTACTACTACTACTACTACTACTACTACTATTACTACGACTACGACGACGACGACTACTACTACAACTACCACGACCACTACCACGACCACGACCACGAGACCACTACTACTAAGACTACTACTACTACTACTACTACTACTACTACTACTACTCTAGTACTACTACTACTACTACTACTACTACTACTACTAGTAGTCGGTGCTTCTTGCCTGTGCCATTGCGCATTCAAGGGCTTGCATCAGGCCTCATATTGAAGTGCAGACATGTTTGACCTGGTGCTTGCCGTTTTCCGGTCCGAAACCTCTTTGCGTGCCGACGCCAGCCTGCGGAAAGTAACCGGCCATGCGAGCGATGATGCTGCTGGCGACAAGCCTGCAAGATGTTGCTTTCTCTGGCATTCCGAGCTAGGCTTCTCTACAGAACAGGTGACTAGCTTCCTGATTTGAGCTAGATTCGAGGAAGCGCCTGTCTCAACTCGTCTCTTGAATCATTCCTCCTGTACAAAGCCTTGCTACAGACTGATGCGTCGTGAAGCAGAAGAACCTGCACGAAAACAACAAACATATGACTTCCAAGACTTGAAACCCCGGAAAAAGTCGTTACCATGGCAAGAATAGTGTTTTGACGAATATATGGTGGTCATGGAAACTGGCAATCTTGGCTAGAAGACTACGGAGAGTCAAGCAATTCAGGCCGTGAAGGCTTCGTAAGGCTCATGCATATCAACTCGGGGTTCAATGTCTGTGTGATGTTGGAAAGAAGTTGCCAAGAAAGGCTGGTGAATCAACGCGAGAGGGGCCAAGCGTTGCTCTTGAGCAGATCCCGTGTCGAGCTGAATGGTTCTGAGAGCCAAGTGCTACCTGAAAGTTATGGTCCAACCTCTGGGAGCCTGGAACCCGAGACTGCAGGAAAACGCTCCATGAGCAAAATAGACAGAGACCTATAGAGTCCATTGTAGTTCCTTTTTGGGGGATACCTTATAAAATCCTTAACATAATTTTGGTTAAACCAAAAAAAAAGGAACTACAATGGAGCCTATAGGGCACCCCCCAAGTTCAACGTGCAGCGGACCTCACACCCCAGGGGGGCCCGGGCCCGACAGCGGAATCCGGGGACCTCTTAACCGAGACTCCCAGGTAGCCCAGGGCCAGACTTGGAAGCCCTACCCGGACCAGGCCAGGGAGCGCTTGCCCCCGACTTTAGGGTTTAGGGTTTAGGGCTTTAGGGTTTAGGGTTTAGGGCTGATCAACCTGAGTCTGGGTTCAAAAAGGGTTTAGGGCTTTCAGCCGTTTCGGGCCAGGGGTGTCTGCTGAACTTGTGGACCTCCTCTTGGTCTAGCAGGGGGCAGCACTGGGGTTTGATCTTCGCTCTTCCTGCGCATGATGACAGATGCTTGTGATCACACACTGCGGTATGTGGCGACAGCGGGCATCCTACGCCATATCCTTGCCTAGCACTAGGCACACACCCGTCCGGGCAAAGAAGGAGATGAAACGGCTTGCACCCTCCTCCACCTCTGAAGGAAGGGGTCGCGGCGGCAAGCAAAAGTATCAAACTAATTGACGGAGTTCCTCGATGAGTCATGGACAAATGCCGCCACACACTTGTCTACGAACCGGAAACCTCACTATTGAATAGCTGTCGTCGAGGCCCCATTACCGCCACGGCGACCTCGCGCGACTGCCAGCGTCCGACATCAGGCAGTGTCAGGATGGAGGGTTTCAGGTAGGCTGAACAGTTCATGTTCATGTTTATCTGCGGGCCTGAATGTTTGGACCACGAGTGGGGGTGTAGGGGAAGATCAGATTGACTGCAGCAGCAATCCTTGCCTGGATTTGTTTGTCTACTACTGCCTGAACACTTCGAAACTCCAAATCGTCTAGCCTGTAAATCCCCATAGCCCGAAAAGCAACTCATCCTCAACGTAGGAAGTTCGCTGTGAAGCACTAAGTGTGGGTGCAGAGTCAAACTGTTGAGTTGCACTCCCCGGCCAGGGTTCAACTGCCGCTGCTGCCGCTGCAGTGCTTGCAGCCACAACAGCTTCCGGCCGGAGGTAAGGAAACCGTTTTGTTTGTGGACTACCGCGAAATTTTCGAGAGGCCTCATGCGGCAAAATCCCGAAGCACTTCTGCTTGGGAGTTGCGGTTTTGCCTTGGGCCTTCTGCGACTGAAACAGTTTTACCTCATGCTTTTTGGGTGGTAAGCAGAAATTGAGTCCGCAGCTTTTCGCCAAACCGTTTGGGTCAAGTGATGGAGCCTTCACGTATATACTTCGCTCGTGGTGCAGGCCACGATGCAGTCGCGCGGCCATCGACGACGACGAGCTGGGCTATGGCCGAGAGGACCGAGCCATCTGCAAAGTCTGGTCAGAGCACGTATTCTGAGATTAACATCAACAGCCCAAAAATCTACGATTAACCTCTCAACAGCTCTAAAATCTACAGTACCAATACACCACCACCACCACCTCCACCACCACCACCACGACGACGACTACTACTACTACTACTACTATTACTACTAATGTAGATTCCAGAGAGCCTGCGACCTCGAGAGCTCTTGACGGTCAAAACCAGAAGTCTGCCTTACCGAAACTTCAACCCCGGATGTCTACAAGCCCGGCTGATGTTGACTCCTCATCCTAGAACCTAGGAATCACCGGCACAACCCTAGCCCTCCTGTCATGATCCCTTTCTCCCCAGCTTCGAAACTCCGAGCCCTGAAGCTTTCTCGTCGTAGCCTGAAGCTCCAATAGACAACCCGACATCTCAAGATCCTCTAGGACCATGTAGGGACCCGAAGCCTCTAAATCCCAAAGCTCGGCCTCTATCGACCCTCAACCTCTAAACCCTAAACCCTAAACCTCTAAACCTCTAAACCCTAAACCCTAAACCCTAAACCCTGCTACCCAAAAAGCCGTCTGGCAATCAGGATGTCGGCCCGGGGGGCGAGGATCCCGAGGCAAAGCCATTTGTCGCCTTGGGCTTCAGGGCTTTGGGTTGTTTTTTTCGCAGGGGGCTAGTCACAACAAATACCGAAATACCACCGATGAATCGCATGGCTACGGGTTTGGGGTTTTCTGCCCGATCGCCGAAAAGTGGTGTTGGCAGAGTTGTTTCGGAGGCTGGGCTCGGGATTGTCATCTGCGCGTATGTGTGGGCGGGTGCGTGTATACGTGTGCCAGAGCTCCCCGGAGCTCCACCGAGGTCGAATCTGCATAATATAGGGGCCTTATAATGCTAAGAATAGGGTTTTTGGGCCCATTAAGCTATAACTACAATAAGGAACCCCCCAAAATAATCGCAGGTAATTATTAAGGCCCCTTACTACATTAGTCGGATGCACTGCGCTGAGCCG